GCGCTCAGGCACACAACGCATGGGCGTTGCACGAAAAAAAAAAAAAATTAGTTGCACCCACACCCAAGCAGGGAGAGGACTCCCTGCACCCACAAGAGAGCACAACAAATTGAGTTGATGTTCATGTCAACAATATAAACCGATTGATCAACACAATCATATTCCATACAGACTAACAATTTTATATGACAAAATTTTCTCAAAGAGGAAAGAAAAATCAATGCTCAAAAGCCAGTACAAACGAAGCTTAAACTAATGCAAACAAGAAAAATTTTCGTTGGTTTTGTTTTTCCTAAAATTTTGAAGAGATAAACATCAAAGTTCAACTTAATAGAAATTAATATAAAACTGTTTTTTCATGCATATATTTTATGAAAACTATTATTTTTTTAAATATTTATTTATTGCATTAAACGCGACAATATAAGAAATATAAAAAATATAAAAAATATATAGTTAAAATCTCATACTTCAAAAGAAAAAAATGTACTAAAATAGAAGTAATTCTACTTGATTAAACTCCCTCTAGAAGTTAATTAGTTAGCTAGAAATTAGGAAGTCAGAGAGGAAATCTAACAACTCATGAATTATTTTTTCTTATCAATTTTACTATAATTGGATGCTAACTAAAATTAGAAAATAAAATTAAATTCTTATTTTTGTATTTTTTTTTAATTTGTCCAATTCAACAATGCCCACTAAATCAAGAGTAGAAGAACAGGGGATGAGCAAAACAGAGGGGACGCTTCTTATTTGTGGAAGGAAACAGCTCGGTTTGTTTCTGTGAGATTTCAATTTTTCATCCTTTCCCTCTGCGTGGGTCCTACTCCCACCTTAGTGGGACCCACCAGGAGGAGGAACAGCCCTCCTCTGTTCTTCTGGTTCCTCATGGCGACAGAGTTTTCTTCTCCCAAATTTTAGTTTTGATCTGTTTTTCCTCTTCTTCTTATAGACAATAAAAAAGGGGACTTTTTCATCTCCAGGTACGTTGTAATTGAAATTTGTTTTTCTTCCTCCGTTCAAAAAAAAAAAAAAAAGTCACAGAGCTTATTTTTTTTTTTAATCTGTATATTTTGATTTAAATCATCAAAAATTTAATTCACTGTAGCCTGTTAAAATTTTCTGAATTTTTACGTCATCTGTTTGTGGTCTGCATAAAAGAAAAAAAGACTGTTCCTTTACGACTTCTTTGCCTTCTCTGATTCGTGAGCGAAAACTCTCATTTAATTTAAAGAGATTTCTCGTATCTCCTATGTGAAATATCTTTCATAGATATTTCTCTTTCTCCCTTGAAATTTTTTGGTTTAAAATTGTAAAATTTAATTTGCAGTAAATTATGAAAAATTCTTCTTATATCCCTTCTCTGTGCAGACTGCTCTTCAGCAATATGTGAAGATAAACAAAATGATTCTTTTCCTCCTTTTCTTGATCATGAGAGATTAGAGAAACGGTTCTTGTCATAGAGATTTCTATTTCTCCCTTTGAATTATTTGATATTACGGTCTTTTGTTACTGTAATTTTTTAAATTTCCAATTTTTTACCCTTTATTATCCCATAAGATTTGCAGACAAAAATATTGTTTTCAAAACTATTTAATGAATAACATAATATCTAAATAATGTTATATACTTATATCTCCAATGAAAAAAAACATTCAAAATCAAAATTTTATTGTAATTTTCTGATCTTTTCCGTCTTCTGTTTTTCACCGTGCATTTGTCATCACGGAGATGGGGAAGAAATGGATTTCTGCAGTCAAAAAAATCTTCAGTTCTGAATCTACGGAGAACCATACCTTCGAGGTTAGAAAGACATCTTCTATTTATTATCATTTATTCTCATATGAAATTCAATCAAAATGACATTTTGGCCTTAATTTCCTTAGAAACCAGATAAGAAATTGCGCAAATCAAAGCATTCAAAGAACTTTGTAGATCCTCTTGAAGATTCAAAGAATGGACAAAGCCAACGCGCTTATTCAGTGGCAATGGCCACCGCCGCGGCGGCCGAGGCGGCCATGGCGGCAGCTCGGGCGGCGGCGGAGATGGCCAGATTAACCACATCATTAAGAGCCTTCCATGAAAGACCAAGAAAGGAGGTTGCAGCAATCAAGATTCAGGCTGCCTTTAGAGGCTATTTGGTATTGAATTTATTTCAGATCGGATTTGTGGATATAAAAACACAATCTTCTCAGGCATCTCCAACCGAAATTCTTATTTTTCACTGCAAAATGCAGTAAAATCAAAAAGTGCCGTGATTCATCTCCAGTGGAACGTCATTTTGCCCCCAAATCATGGCTCGTTTCTTTCGCACCTTTCTCAGACGAGTTCAGTAGAGAAAGAAATGGCGCAAGTGAACAGTGCGAGTCAATATTGACGTTGCACTGTTCAACTGTCATCAAATAGCGGAAGAAATGACGTTCAGTTGCTAAGTTTGAGGGCCTCCATTCGGCTGTTTGCCGAATGGTTGGAGATGTTCTTAGAAAAATTATGAATTACATCCAATTAATTAATAGAAAGTAATGATTTTTAATATTTTTTAAAATGTGTATCTACCTACAAAGAAGTAAAATTTTTAATAATAGAATGATATCATTATCTTCATTGTGTATTGCGTTATTGAAGGTGAGAAGAGGAACAGGAGCTTTGAGAGGATTGGTGAGGTTGAAGCTAATGGCCAACCGAAGGGCAGTCAAGCGCCAGACTATAAACACATTGCACAACATGCAAACCCTAGCAAGGGTTCAAGCACAGCTAAGGGAAAGAAAAGTCAGATTGTCAGAAGAGAACCAGACTCTACACAAGCAGAGGCAACTCAAGCGTGAGAAAGAACTGGAGAAATTTAAGGTAATTCCTTATGCCATTTTTATAGCTCAGGGGTGTCAATATTTGACGTGACACGAAAATTTGACTCGAATCCGACACGAAAATTTTGAGTTCGGGTCAACCCGAATCTGAAACGGGTCGGGTTCGGATCCTGATTTTCGACCCGTGTTGTTGTTGTTTGAATTCCAGGTAGGTTTCGGGTTGATCCGAAAACCCAAGATAATCAGGTTTTGACCTAGAATCCTGTAGTTCGAGTAACATAGATGAATCTTATATGTTTGGAGAGCGGGAAATCTCAAAATAGTTTTCAAATTATTTGTGTGGGTCCTATATATTCTCTCAACTATACAATATTTATTCAAAATGGTTTCTCATATTAGAACTGTGACATAAAATTAATTTTAATTTAATCCCTCGGTTATACAAAATAGATCTACTTAAAATTTCAGTATAGTTGCTTGAAAATTGAGGAGTCTATAGTCATATTTTCCTTCTGAAACTGAACAGAAACGACAAATGTTTCAATTTATGGCATCTCTTTTTTATTTGTTATCAGTATATAACTACTCATACTTTGACATCATCATAGCTGGGAGAGGATTGGGTTGACAGTCCGCACTCAAAGGAACAATTTCAAGCTAAAATACAGAAGAAGCAAGAGGCTGCTCGAAGAAGAGAAAGAACACTAGCTTATGCCTACTCACATCAGGTGATCATCATTTTTCAATCAAATTTACCTATACAGATAAATCATATCAAACTTTTGAATATAAGCAACTACTCAACATGCTTAATATTTACATCTTTACCTCTAACAACAGTCAGTATTGTAAGATCAGTACTGTAAGATCATCTCCAATCGAACTCCATACCACCGTATGTCGTCCGCCATTTGCTGCATTCCAACTCCAAATCGCACGCCAAATTACGGTAGGTGAACAGTGCTACGCCAATATTGGCGTCGAATTGTTCACATACGCCAAAAAAATTCACTGCATGAATTGCCAAAGAAGCGCGCGAAAGAGAATAAAATCACGCCAAAGACGGTTACTTTCGCAGGAAGCGCGCGAAAGAAGAAAAAATGACATTCGATTGGATAAGAATGGCTGCATTTTGGAGTGGATAATGGGTTTTTCGGTTGGAGATACCCAAATTAAAAGTCTTTTAATATTGTGGGTATAAATGAACTAGTTAATTAAGCAAACAAATTGCATTATTCTATCAAATGCATTGGCTAAACATAGTGACTTAAACTACAAAATTTCTTTCCAATTCAGTAAGCTTAGAAAGAGATCTTGATCTCTCAAGAAGTCATTTGCAGAGAAGAACTAAGTGAAGAAGAAAGCGGAACAAGAGAGAAGAAGAGGAAATGTTGTATATTATTCACTGTCATGTGCATAGGTCCTAGTAGTCTATATATAGACATTACAGAGTAAAGCACAAGATGTAACCAATGAGAATAAGACACCTCACTATTTATTTATTTAATACATTTATCTTTATTAGTTAATATCCCCCCACAAACTGATGGGTTTTCCTGAACCGTCAGTTTGCTCCGCAAAGTATGAAATCGAGGAGTTGTAAGTGCTTTGGTAAATATGTCGGCAACTTGATCCAGAGTGTTAATGGGAAAAATCCGGATGTTGTTTTGCTGAAGGTGGTCACGAACAAACCGTTGATCAATTTCGATGTGTTTGGTTCGTTCGTGGAACACCGGATTATTGGCAAGAGCTATGGCGGATACGTTGTCGCAATAGATATCCGTCGGGCTGTTTTGAGATTCACCGAATTCAGCTAACAGCTTGCGGATCCAAATCACATCTGCGTTTAGACCAGCTAACGCCCGGTATTCGGACTCGGTAGAGGAGCGAGCTACTGTTGTTTGCTTCTTGACCGTCCAAGAAATTAGCGTGTTGCCCAGGAAAGAGCAGTAGCCCGAGGTAGACTTCCTGGATATTGGGTCTCCAGCCCAGTCGGCGTCTGAAAAAGAAGTGAGAAGCAATTTAGATTTTATGATCGGAATTCCGAATTGGAGCGTACCTTGTATATAACGGAGGAGTCGTTTGAGGAGGAATATATGGCGAGGTAATGGATTGTGCATGTGCTGCGATAGAACATTGATGTTGTAGGCTATGTCTGGTCTTGTGAGAGTAAGGTACTGAAGGGAGCCTGTTAGACGTCTATACATTGCAGGATCAGCTAGAAAAGTGTCCGGTCTCAGATCTGCAGGTTCTTTTGTACAAGTTGGATTAGAAATCGGTTTGCATTAAGATAGTTGAGCAATTCAAGAATAGATTTTGCATATTGGGTCTGCGACAGAAAGTAGTGTGTGGATTTTCGGTCAATCTGTATACCAAGAAATTGGTTAGCTACTCCAAGGTGTTTAAGAGAGAACCTGGAGTTTAACTGTTCAAGCATATTGTTAAGCAGAGGTTTATTATTCCCGGTAAACAAGATATCATCGACATAGATGAGAAGAAATAGTTTTCCAACAAAATTGTTAAAAATAAATAGAGAAGGGTCAGAGATACTGTTAGAGAAGCCGAGAGAGAGGAGATATGTGGTGAACGTGTTGTACCATTGACGCGGAGCCTGCTTTAGTCCGTATAGAGCTTTATTGAGTCGGCAAACATAGTTCGGATATAATGGATCGATGAATCCTTTTAGTTGATTCATATAGACGGTTTCAGTAAGTGTGTCGTGTAAAAATGCATTGTCGACATCCAACTGATGAACCTGCCAATCATAATGTAAAGCAATTGTAAGAAGAATACGAATTGTTGGTAATTTAGCCACGGGGCTAAAAGTTTCGTTATAATCAAGACCAAATTCTTGGTGATTTCCAAGTGCGACCAATCTAGCTTTGTGTTTTGCTATGGATCCATCGACAAGGTATTTCGTGCGATATGTCCATTTGCACCCAAGTATCGACGACTTGGGAGGAGGAACGAGCGTCCAAGTCCCCTGTTTTTGTAAAGCTAGAAATTCATTGGACATAGCTTGTCGCCATTCGGTGTGTTTTACCGCCTCTGAGTATGATTTTGGATCAGTTGGCACAGCTAAAGATGTCTTCTCATGAATCAGGTTGAGTCGTGTTACTGGCTTCAGCGAACCTGTTTGATGGCGAGTGACCATTGGATGTCGAGTTTGAAGCGGAGGTGCAGTATGAATTTCGGTGGGTTCAGGGGTCTGGCAGTGTAGTTGAGGAAGACAGGTATTGAGTGTTGTCTCTTGGTTAGAATTGATGAGAGTAGGCGGGGTGCTGATGCGTTTTTGAGACGATGCCTGGGTGTGTTGGGAGGTGGCTGAGATCGGAAGTAGGAGCTGAGGCGAAATATGAGGAGGTTGGTGGGAAGCAGGTTGAGTAGTAGTAAACGGGAAGAGTTGTTCATTGAACGTGAGGTGCCGAGAAATTAATATTTTGTTCGTAGATGGGTCTAAGCATTTGTATCCCTTATACATGTCAGAATAACCGAGGAATACACAGGTTTTTGATTTTGGTTCGAGTTTGTGACGTGAGTGAGAAGGTAAAAGAGGGTAGCAGGTGCATCCGAACGTTCTAAGATGAGTATAATTGGGTGGTGTGTGATGAAGTAGCTCGAAGGGGGAGATGTTGTTGGTGTTAGGGGACGGCATCCGGTTTATTAGGTAGACAGCAGTAAGAGTTGCCTCCGGCCAATGTTTGTAAGGGATGATAGCGGTGTGAAGAAGAGATCTCGTAGTCTCAATAATATGGCGATGTTTTCTTTTCGCGACCCCATTCTATTCGGGAGTGTAGGGGCAAGAGACCTGGTGAGAGATGCCGTTTTGTTTAAGAAAATCAGTAAACATATGGCTGAGGTATTCACCACCTCCGTCACTACGCAAACATTTTATTTTAGTGGAAGTATAATTTTCAATTTGACATTTGAAGGTAAAGAAAATATGAGCCATGTCAGATTTGTATCGCATTGGAAAAATCCACGTAAACCTAGTAAAGTCATCAACAAAAATTACATAGTATTGAAAACCTTGAGCAGAAATGACCGGAGACGGACCCCAAATATCCGAATGCACAAGTTCAAGCATACATTTCTTGCGGGAAACAGAATTATCAAAAGACAGTTTATGCGATTTAGAAACAGTACAAGGTAAACAATCATTCTTATTATAATCTATATGTAACTGAGGATGAGAAACAGAAATAGAATGCAAGGTGCTGTAATTTGGATGGCCCAATCGGTTGTGCCACGAGTAGGAAGAAGTGCTGACTGCTGCATTAGCGTGGGGAGCAGTTTTTCGGTGAGTCGACCGAATGGGATACAATCCGTTGCTACATGGTCCGCGAAGCAAGATTTCTTGCGTCGTCAGATCCTTCAAAGAAAAACCGTTAGAATCAAACATAATAGAAATATTATTGTCTTTGGTTAGCTGCGATATTGAGAGAAGATTGTAATGAAGATTTGGAGTGTGTAAAATTTTTGAAAGGTTGAGCTTACGATTCGGCGTGGGTAGCAAACCTGAGCCTGAGTTGGCTATGCTTACAGAGCTTCCTTCACCAATGGTAATGGCATCTTGACCGTGGTAGGGGTTAGAGACGGAGAGATGTTCCAGTGAGTTGGTGAGGTGCGCCGATGCACCTGAATCAAGAAACCAATCCGTGGAGCTTCCTGAATTTCCAGCGGCCAGTGTAGTGTTGGAGACAGTGGATGAGGGAGGAACATATTGGGGGTTCAGTCTGTGCCAGGAGGAGGATGCACTGTGACCTTTCTTGGAGCAGATTTGAAAAATCACGGATGAGTTGGGATTGATGCGAGAGACGTTAGAGAAACCTCTCCCTATGTTTCTGCGACCGCGACCCCGAGTAGTGACAAGAGCCATTTGAGCATCGGAGGCAGTGACGTTCTTGGAGGCATCTGACGCTATATTCACCTCTTCGCTAAGAAGAAGTGCATATAGATTGTCAAGACTTATGGGGTTGAGCATTGTTCTGATTGCTGTTTTAAATGCTTGGTAGGAGGGGGGTTTTTAATATTTTTTAAAATGTGTATCTACCTACAAAGAAGTAAAATTTTTAATAATAGAATGATATCATTATCTTCATTGTGTATTGCGTTATTGAAGGTGAGAAGAGGAACAGGAGCTTTGAGAGGATTGGTGAGGTTGAAGCTAATGGCCAACCGAAGGGCAGTCAAGCGCCAGACTATAAACACATTGCACAACATGCAAACCCTAGCAAGGGTTCAAGCACAGCTAAGGGAAAGAAAAGTCAGATTGTCAGAAGAGAACCAAACTCTACACAAGCAGAGGCAACTCAAGCGTGAGAAAGAACTGGAGAAATTTAAGGTAATTTCTTGTGTCATTTCTATAGCTTAGGGGTATCAATATTTCACATGATCCGAAAATTTGATTTGAAGCCGACACGAAAATTTTGAGTTCAGATCAACCCGAATCTAAAATGGGTCGGGATCGAGTCCAAATTTTCGACCCGGTTTGAATTTCAGGTCAGCTCGGGTTGACCCAAAAATTCGAGAATGACTCGATTTTGAGATGAAATCCTGTAGTCAGGGCAATATAGATGAATCTTATATGTATGGAGAGAAAGAAATCTCAAAATAGTTTTCAAATTATTCATGTGTGGCCAACAATCTCATAGTATCACGTTGTTCTTATGTAATCTCTCGACTATACCAGATTTATTCAAAATGATTTCTCATATTATAAAATGAAAAATGAGCCGTCTATAGTCATATTTTCCTTCTAAATTTGGAAAAATTATTCTATGTGGACACGACCAATCAGAAAGCGTCACTTCACATTGTGTTCGGTACCGTGACTCAATACTGCTTAGTTCCGCTGATGTGGCGCATTATAATTGATCTCCGGATGGTATTTTGTATCCGGTCTCTGCACATAATAAACTGAACAGAAACAGCAAGTGTTTTAATTTATGGTATCTGTTTTTTATTTTTTATCAGTATATAACTACTTATACTTTGGCATCATCATAATTCATAGCTGGGAGAGGATTGGGTTGACAGTCCGCACTCAAAGGAACAATTTCAAGCTAAAATACAGAAGAAACAAGAGGCTGCTCGAAGAAGAGAAAGAACACTAGCTTATGCCTACTCGCATCAGGTGATCATCATTTATCAATCAAATCTAACTATACAGACAAATCATATCAATGTTTTGAATATAAGCAACTACTCACTTAATATTTACATCTTTACCTCTAACAACCATCAGTATTGTAAGATAATCTCCAACCGAACTCCATATCACAGTATGCCATCCGCCATTTGCTCCATTCGAACTCCAAATCGCACACCAAATTATGGGGCAGGTGAACACTGCGACACCAATATTGGCGTCGGACTGTTCACCTACGTAAAAAAAAAATTCGCTGCGGGAATTGTCGAAGAAGCGCGCCAAAGAGGAGAAAAACACGCCAAAAAATGGTTACTTTTGCAGGAAGCGCGTGAAAGAAGAAGAAATGGCATTCGATTGGAGAAGAATGACTGCATTTTAGAGTGGAAAATGGGTTTTTCGGTTGGAGATGCCCAAATTAAAAGTCTTTTAATATTGTTGGTGTAAATGAACTAGTTAATTAGGCAAACAAATTGCATTATTCTATCAAATGCATTAGCTAAACAAAGTGACTTAAACTACAAAATTTCCTTCCAATTCAGTGGAGGAGCAATTCTGCCAGGTCCAAGAAACCAGCTCTCATAGATCCCACAAAGCAACAATGGGGCTGGAGCTGGCTTGAGCGCTGGATGGCAATCAGGCCATGGGAGACCAACCAAAGCTTTATCACAGGCAGAGATTCATCCTCTAAAAAGAATGGAGGCTTAAACAAAGCTCCCTCAGTTGCGTCAAATGATGATATCTGTGGCTTGTTTGGCTTTCAATCTGAACAACATAAGAGAAGGCACAGTCTTGGCAGTTCATTTTGTTTTGGAGACGTTGAGAACAGAGGTAAGTCGCGGTTCCAGGCGCCGCTAACTGGCAAGTCAAAGGCCAAGAAGCCATTGCCGTTAACTTCTGCTTCAAGGAGGCTTTCAGGCCCCCAAAGGATGGCAAGCTATGGGAAGCTATGGTAGTGAAAGTAAGTTGGTGATGTTTTTAAAATTTCATCAATGAATGTTAATGATGTGGATTAAGGCTTCGATTGGGACAACTTTCTTATTGCTTTGACTTTTAGAACATAATTACTATTTTTTCGTTGTTTTTAAATTTTTTGTGTGATAAAAATCTGCTTTCTATAATAACTTTCAAAAAAAATTATTTTCTAAACAATAATTTTATAGTGATCTTTATAAAAAATTGCAGTTGTTCCAAACGAATCTCGATTTTACATCATGATATTCAAATATAATGGGTCGGAGTGAATTTACTATTTATGTTTAAATGAACTATAATTGTGAGCATTCATCTTTATTTTTCTACAAGATATTCTATCATTTGTTTTTTTTTTTTTTTTTAAATTAAAGTGTTTGCATTGAAAGATACTTTGTCATGCTTTGTTCAAATAAAGTTGATGAAGGAAACTAAAGTTATTTTATTCTTATTTTTCATAATATGCTCATAATGTTTACTTTATGAGAATTTATTTTTCATGCAAACTTATCATAGTTTGTTAGTTGAGAGTTTGGCTACGAATTTAAAAGTTGAATTCGAAACTTATATATGTGATTTATGTATATAAGTTTTTCTTAATTAATCCAAATTTCCTAAAAAAAGATTTATTTTTTTATCCAATGCATTTATTGTCCTCATAGCTAAAGGTTGCCTAGTGGATTTATTTTTTATGCGAGTTTACAGTAAAATCAGACATAGCTCACTTTGGTCTATTGGTTAGGAGCTTAGACTACCAACTAAGAGGTCTTGGGTTTGAGGCTTATGTATGCATTATGTGTGTGTCTGCCTTAATTGACTTAAATGCCTTTAAAAAAACACTGTCATAATAGTGAATTAAAAAATATCAACATTTGATTGGCTATGTAGATTAGGGGTGTAAATAAATTGAGTCAACTTTGAGTTATTACTAATTTGAGCTTGAGCTTAATTAATTAATCAAGACTGAGCTTAAGCTCAAACTTAATTTTATGAGCTTGAGTCAGCATACAAGCCGGCTCATTTATTTAGAAAAAGAGAATATGATTATAATTTTGTCAATTATTGTAATAAAATGATAAAAAAAAAAATGCAAAATTAGTAGAGAAATAATTAAACATTACTTGATATAAAGAAATGCAATAATTTTCAAATATTTTTAATAAATATTTTTAATACTAATATATTTTAAATATATTTTATATAAATATTTTTTTAACTAACGATCAGTGCAAGTCAAAATTGATGAGAGGGAATGCTAAGGACGTTTTTGAATTTATTTCTATTTTGAATAAATGTGTTTACATGAAAGGTTCCTCCAGCACGCTTAAATTAGTATATTGCAGTTGAATGTGATGTTTTTGTTATTTATTTGATGAATTCTGCATTTCGTTCTTCTGCTCGATTATAATGTTACTAGGAACTTGCCAAGGTGTGTACAATACAAGAAAAGTCAAAATTTTCGACTATTATTTTTTTAATTTTATCACAAAGATAATAAATTAGCAAATTAATTTATTGATAAATAAAATTTATAGAAAAAATTTGTCGCAAAGAGGTCAATCTAGCCGTGTTTTCAATTGGAGTAACTTTATTATTGTTTTTTAAAGTAATTTTTTAATACAAAATTTTAGTTTAAAAAATCTTTACACAATTTTTTTTTAAGGTGTAGTAAGAAAGTGCTTTGTACAACAGCTTTCGAGTTACAAAATTAAGATTTTTATACTAAAAAGCTGCTTTAAGAAGTAATAAAAAAGTTATCCTAAACAAGAAGCCTAAGTCTTTTGATATGTATATAATCAAATTGGGACTACTAAGATTAGGGGTGTCAATTCGGGTCAGCGGGTCGGGTTCGGGTCGAACCCGAATTGACCCGGCTTTAAACGGGTCAACATGAACCCGATTCGTTTTTTGTAAGTGGGTCGACTTTTTCAATCCGGACCCGACCCGTGCGGGTTGCCGAGTTGACACAACCCGACCCGGAGCAGCGGCAGCGGCCGAGCAGTAAGGGTAGCGGCAGCGGTAGCACGCGTCGCAGGCGGAGCCCGGGAGCAGCGGCAACAAGTGCTTCGGGTTCGACCGTTCGGGACGCATTGCGCCACTGCAGAGTCGGGACGCATGCGCGCGGCACGCGTCGGCGTCGCCGCTTAGGGCTCAGGACGCGCAGCGTTGGCAGCGGAGTCGGGACTCGGGACGCACGCGCAGAGGAATGCATAGTGATGGAGAAATAGATGGGGATATTATTAGTAGATTTCAAATTTGATGGTTGAAGCAGAGGAATGCATCAGGCTTGTTGTGTGATAGAAAAGTATCACTCAAACTTAAGGGAAAATTCTATAAGATTGTGGTTAGACATGCAATACTTTATGACGCAAAATATTGGCCATTAAAAAAGAAGTATAATATTAAGTTAAGTGTTGCAGAGTTTAGGATGCTCAGATGGATGAGTGGCTTTACTCTTAGAAACAAGATATGAAATGAGCATATACGTGAAAAAGTTGGAGTAGCTCCAGTGGCAAATAAGATTAGAGAGAGTTGCCTTAAATGGTTTGGTTACATAAAATGGCGGCCTTCTAATGACCAGGTTAGGAGAGTAGATGTATTGGATTTGACCTATGTTAAGAAAGGTAGAGGTAGACCTAAAAAAACTTGGTTAGAAAATATTAGAAATGATCTTTCTTTTTTAGATATAAATGAGAATTTGACTCTTAATATGACACAATAGAGAAAAAGGATTCATGTAGACGACCCCACGTAGTGGGATAAAGAATTGATGTTATTGTTTTTGTTGTTGTGTTTTTTTTATATGTTATGAAAACAATGAACGATAAATATGTGACTCATGATTTTACAGAAATGTTATTCTTCTTTAAACATTGTACCATGAGTCATTTCAATGCTAGTGAATTTTGATCTATGACAAAGCAATATTCATATAACAATGCAAATAAAGATTGATTACTCCTAGCTAAAATAATATATATATATAGAAATGATTGAGCCATGATACTTTCAGAATAGCAAAATTCAAACAAAAATAAAGACAAAAACCTCACACTAAATGTTAAAAATGTTGAGCATAAGGACTTATACTGATATGATATTGTACATTTGTACCATATGTTCATCATAGAAAGCTTCTCTTAATTATTTTTAAAAAGTATAAGCATTTCTTATGTAAGGAAAATCTCCCAAAGATGAGCATGTAGAAGCTGCTTCTCATTTGAAAATCTTTAGGAGGTGGCCCTTGGAACTTGATTTTTACAAAAATATGAGTGAGTTAATGCAATGATGACTATTTGAAATAAACAAGCTTAGGCGTGTAGATGAGTCGAGGATTTGTCTAATCGAGCTAAACTTGTGTAGTTCTTATTGAGCACAAGCTCAGCTCATCAAAAGATTTATATGCTTGAACTTGGCTTGATTGCTCAAGCTCGTTTGGAAAGCTCGACAATGACTCAATTGATGAGCTTGATTTCTTAATTTTAAATTAAAAAGATTTTTTTAAAAATTTTTATTTTAATATAGTATTAATCTTAAAATATTATATAATACTAATTTAAATTAAAATTTAAATATATTTAAAGTTAATCGAGCAAGTCAATGAGCTAATGAGCCGAGCCAGGCTAAGCTCGAGCTCCAGCTCAAACTCATTGTTCAATAAATTCGACTCGTGAGCTTGTTAATAAGTCTAACCCTAAACTAGCTCGGCTGACTTACAACCCTAGATAAGGTTGGAAGTTTCACCCAATGTGAACGCATCCACTGCCTTCCAAATCTGAAGTTTTTCAAAAGCAATGAAAGGTTTCGTGTGGCTATTAAATGCCTATAAAGAATAAGGACGATTACAAACCCTTTTAGAAGGAATTCATCGTGCAATCTCTTTCACAAGCTCAATAAAATTCTTTAAATCTTTTTGGATAGTGCTTTGCATCTATGAATCGAGAAGCACTGCTTTACTTTATTTGATAAAATATATGTCTATGCTCATGTAATGAAGGATGGTGGTGTGACTGAAAATATAAATTTCTCCTTTTTTTTGGTGATATTTGTATAATGTTATAGATCTCTAACAACTTCTATAGATAATTATGTTTTATTAATTTATATAACTTTTTTACTGTTGGGACTGCTGCAACATTTAGTTTATGAACATTTATTTACAACAATACCATTTCGACTTCTGTACTGTAATGTTTTATAGGCGTTAATGTTACAATGTGTTTTACTATTTTAACACATATTTATAATCATATTGATTGCTACTATTATAAAATAAATGATTATATGTATATTATATATATTTTTTGTGCTTTGAGTGGCATAGTGATATGTTAGGTTTTATATTCTCAATATATGTGGTTTAATAATTTTGAGATCAAGAAAGAGAATCAAGAGTGTGAGGCTAATCATATACAAGATTTTCAGGTTTTACTTTCTTTTTGTGTTTTATTATTCTTTTGAGCACAGGAGGGGGCAGGCAGTGCGTTGCATTTGTATAACTTATGGCTTTTGCATATGATTTAAAAAATTTAAATATAAATGTATATTAATGTTTTGACTAATTGATTTTTTTTTCTATTGATATTTTATTATTGAAAGAAACTATATAACTCTGTTTGTTATTATTAAAATATGCAATTATTTTCAAATTAGACCGTAGGGTGTGATAGGATGTGAGATGCATTGTTTTGAAAATCGAAACGGGTTGGCCAATTCGGCCTACTTGAAAAACTAGCCAATCATCAAACTGGTGTGAACAATCAGTTCAATAGTTGAACCAGTCACAATTTTTAAGAACTGACTAGTTCAATTCATAACCTATTTAAATAAATTAATGTATTATAAAATGTTTAATTAAATATTAAATTTAATAAATTAATTTAAATACAAAGCATTTTTATTTATAATGAGCAAAAAAATTTTGCAATGATTATTTATCAATTAAGCACCAAGAAAATATACTCACTTGATATCACCCCCCTCC